CGTCTTTCTTTCCTGACCCCAAAACTTGTTACATGGAATGTATACATGTGTGGGGTAACGCTGCCTTATAATATAAGAATAATTAATTGATATTAAACAGAAAGTTGCAGCCCATGTATAGGTTAAAAGATGAAAAGTTTTTTCTGAGGGACAGTATGCAGTAGCTTAAAGAATTGAAAAGAAATGTGCATTCTTCAATATCATCTGAAATAACCAAAAGTTCAAAGAAAAGCAGTACCTGGATTGAAAAATTTGAAGAATATAATCCTAAACAGTTTACCTTTTTCCGAGTATGTTTAAAACAGAATGGTATGGCAAACTTAAATTTAAAAAAAGAGTTAAATTGACTGTCAATACTATAAATAGGAGGATTTCAGAAAAAAGTTGGAAACAATTTTAAAAAAAATCAGTTCATGCATCTGGCCTCAGTTTACATATATCATAGACAGGTATGAGCAAATACGTGGAAAAATTTCCCCCATCCCACACACGCGCACATTTTTAAAAATTCCTAACAACCTAATTTGTTTTGAATTTACTTTACATAATTACAAAAAATAGTTATATTGTGTTATTAAGAGAAAAGCTGTTTCTTGAGAATACAAGGATAAAGCAAAATTCCCAGTTACTCATAGCAGTGGGCTTATAATGTCTGATAGTTATTTAAATTAACTATTAGATTTTGATAAACTGATGATTATAAGTGAATTTTCATTCATTCACTTTTTAGATTCAACTATCATATACTTTTCTTTATTTGACTGACTGTCAGTGTGTGGCAGGGCACTGTTGGTGCCTGCCACTTTAAGAACCAAGTAGCTGGCAGGTGATTGATTGCAGCAGCCATTTTAGATCCCAGGCTGCTTATATAAACAGGGCAGTTCGCTGCTAGCAGCAAGGCTGTATGCAACATTCTGGAGGTAAGGGGAGGAGCTATAGGGGATGGTTTGGAGGCTCCTGGTCCTGGGCAGGACGGCACCCTGCCAGGATTGGGTGGGCTGGTGGGGCTCTCAGTGGTGCAGGACCTCCCAGGAAATGCCAGGCCAGTTATCACCCCGGTGAAGGGTGGGTAGGGGCACCTTAATCCCAGCCCTCACCTTCAGGGTCATTTACCATCAGAGCAGTGTAGACCAGCTAAGCTTCAGGAAGGACCCGAGCCTGCTGGGGGAGTGATCCCACAGGGCCAGGTGTGCTTCCAGGAGCACCTGAGCTGGGAATGGGGGACCCCGATCCCTAAGTGCAGGCAGAAGGTGTAAACCCAACCAAGGGACTTAACTGGTCAATGCTGGGGCCAGGACTGGAAGGGTCAAAAGGGCCAGGGGCCCACCGCGAGGGATGCCCATGATAAGCAAAGAAACTCGGGGTCCCGAGTGGCCTGAGATGGGGTCAGGGCTTATACAGAAGCCGAAGTTCCCATGATTGGGGCCACAGCTAATGGGCAAAGGGGACAGTTGAACCAACTGCCTGAGATGCCACCTGCGAGGCTTGGGCTGTGGTGTAGGGGTGGAACAGAGCCACGGATAGCCCCCCCCCCAATATTGGAGTGTAAATGGGCAGCCTCCTGCCTTAATTAACAACATAATTACAATAAGGAGACAGGCGGGTGGTGTGCCCAGAGGCAGGTGGGAAACTAGCTCTGTGGCTAGCCAGGGACCCCCACTTTGCCCCACAGTGGCTTTTTAAAAATTCTTTTAGGTTCAGTTTTTACAATTTTTATTTCCTTAACCTAAACAGAATGACCTCCAACACATTTGTTTGAAGTTTAGCATGATTAATTAATGTAATTTCACTTGGTATTTATTCCTCTGTGTTGTATGCAGTAACATTTGCACCAGCAAAAAGACAAAAAGGAAGCTCGGCAGATTTTGGCAACATTTTTCCAAGCTATAGCAGTAGTAGGAGAGGATAGCATTGCTTCCTATACTGATATTCTCACAAGCCTGTGTCCAAGCAGTTGCAAATAACTTGAGCAGTTATTGTCAGGGAAAAAAAATCATGTGCATCAATATTTTTACTAACATCTTAAAGTTTTTTTTCATCATTGTCTCTACAAATGCATTTTATATGTTGAATATTCTCTGCATGTGACTTAGTAAAATTCCTCTCTTTTTGGACATTTTCTTTGTCAGTTCATTCTTCACCAGAATTATTCCGAGCTGTTGGCTCTGGTCCACCATTTCCTTGTTAAATGTTTACAATTTGTAAGTGTTGCGACCCTGGTGCCAGCACCAGTAATCCTAATTCTAACAATTTACACTTGTCAGTTTTCTTTAAACTCCATTACTGCTCATTGAAATGCTACATGAAATGGATTGGAGAACATTTAACATGTAACAAATTGGAGATACAGGAAAATTTTCCTTTATGTCACATTTAATTATATATTGGGCTTTTGTTTTTGTTTTTCAGAATTGTGACCTGGCCCAGCAGAGTATAGTTCACATTGTTCAGAGTCCAAATGAAGATGTGCAGAAAAGGGCCAAAGCTGGTCATATTCCCCTGGAAAGAGAACCTAAAAGCTTAACTTGTGTAGACCTCAGTACCAGCATCCTTCCATCTTACTCCACAGGGCTAGCTGTTATTTTGGATACTGCAGATGATGGCCTTCCCCTTCCATCTGACAAATCAGGTAACTCACTGAATATTCATGTTTCAAAACTCAATTACACACTGGAATCTCTCCTTTGTAGAACAACATATGGAATGAAAAAAAAACTTTTAGTTTTCTTTTTTTTTTCAAGTAAACAATATTAGGACAATAATATATGGTGAATATGCAGAGGAGCACCTAATATTTTTTTCTAACAGTACATGATGCCTTTGGTTGGTTGATGAATTGACTGATTATAACTTCTAATACTTAATATTACAGATGAATATAAGTAAGCAAAAGAAGCAAATACCATTTATCCTTAAATATGTTAGCAACAGTTGCTTTTGCTAGAAGTGAAATAGATTATGCATTGAAAATTTAATTTCCAAGCTATCGCAATGTTTTTATGCTCATAAGTTTTAGTAAAATATTTCTATAAAGCAGTTTTTGTGACATTACAGACAAACATTAACATATAAGAACAGATGGCTTATGCTGTGAATTTTGAAATTTTTTATTCATAAAATTATTGCTTGGAATATTTGGTTTCCATTTTGGGTATCTCTATCAAGCACAGATGAAGCAACATGCAAACTAGTCATTAAAAATATTAACAGCTGCTAGATATGTTACACTTGAATTTGATCAAGGGGCTACATGAATGGAATTAAATGATTGGTGGTCCCATTCAAGTCTCAAATTCAACTTTACTGAAAACATAAGCAATACCACTACTCAGGCAAAACCCAAACAGTCTGTAAAAGTATTCTTATGTAGGCTTTCTTAACGACACATGATGACTTAGCTGAGCAGGCATCAGCTGATCACATTTTTGACCAGTCTGGTCTCCATTGGCTTAATAACATCTCGCCAAACTTGAGTTGTTTCCTTAGGCTTTTATACTCTTTCACAGCCTGTTGGGGGTAATTACAATAAGGCTCTGGCCTGCACCTGCCCGATGTCTTACCAGAGTACACCATAAGGCTGGAGGACCACACCGCCGCTATCAATCTCTGGTGTTTTGCTCTCACCTTCCATGCCTTGATATTCTTTTTAATATTGGGAACTGGATATGGGGACTGATGGAGGTCCTGGCTGGTCCTTTCAGAGGGTTCTCTTCATGGGGCTCCACCTCCCCTCACACCTCACCCTTACTACTTCCCAGGTGATACACGTCTGCGTCCTGATTTTGCCTCACCCAGATATGTCTCCAGCAGTTAGTCACTGGCTTATTGAATGAATGCATCCATGAATTTAAAGCAGTTCATGCAGGCTTCATAAGGCCATCTACTTGGATTAATTTATTACAGGTTCAAGGGTCAGTCCATTCAGATCTGCTCATTTAGGGTCCATAAGACAATCAACTTAAATCTAATTCATTCCAGATTCATGGGTCAATCAATTTCAATCAGTTCATTAAGATTCCATAAGATAATCAACTTAAATCAATTCATTCCAGGTGCCTGGGTCAAATTATTTTGCTCTCTGTTGTAGAGCTAATGACCCAGCCTGAACAGCAATTCCACCTGGGTTTAGCTTCACAGGGCTGGGACCAGCGGGGCTTTTTCAGGGATGGAGATTTTCCTCTTCTCCCTTTCCCTGGCACAGTGAGAGAAAACGATACTCAAAAAAAAAAAAAGAGAGAGAATCCCTCCTCCCCTCCCCCCCCAAATCAAGTGGCTGTGCCCCTGAAACTTACAGACCCACTCATGCTGACAGCTCTTTCACTCCCTCTCTCTGCCAGCTTCTTGCCTCCATTTTCACTCTTTTAGTATTCACCCAGCTGGACCTGTGCAGTTTCTTGGTGCTCCGTATCCAGGGTTTTGCCAGTGGTCTTCCAACCATTCTGGCCAGTGGGCCTGCTTTCTTCACCTGTGGCTAGCCATGGGGCACGGCTGACTGGGAAGGTCTCTGGTGTCCACTCTTCCAGCCTGCTGTGGTCCTCCACCAGCTGCCCCATTCTGGAGCCAGAAATACCTTTCTTTGTGCTCCCTTCACCAATCTGAAAGGAGCACTTGCTGTGGAAACACAGTGGCATGCTCCCTACTGAAGATGGACTCCTCTCTATACCTGCGGTAAGTATCCCACTTTCTTGATCTCTGGGGCTTCCTCATGACTCCAGTCTTCTCCCCTCACACAGCCTTCTTCTGCCTATTCCATATAAGGTCATGCTGTGTGTTTTCACCAGTTACCTTTTACAGCAGTGCTTTCCTAATCAATTTGTCACTCTGCCACCTTCAGCCTATTTTTTTCTGAACTTACTTTTTACCTACTAAGCTATGCTTGGGCTTGTTTTGCAATTGGAACCAGCCTGGGTCCCATCTGTCATCAGGATCCCAAGTCGGTTGTGCAACAGCCAGGACACAGCTGTGGTGCCTGCTGCCGCCTGTGCTGCAGGGATCCGCAGTCATGCAGTGGTCCCAGCTTGAGCCCCTCTACAAACCCACCCATAGACCACACATCCCCCCACTACTCCCCATAGCAGGTGGGTTGGGGTGCCTTAACCTGAGTCCCACCTTTGGGTGGGTTATGTAATGCAGGGAAGGCCAGGTAAGCTTCCTGGATCACCTGAGCCTGCTGGGGTGAGTGATTTCACAGGGCCAGGCACACTTTGCAAAGCACCTGAGCCAGAAATGAGGGACCCTCGATCTCTGAAATCAGGCAAGCAGCTTAGGCTTGCCCTGAGGGACTTGACTGGTCAATGCTGGGGCCAGTACCCAGTGAGGGGTCAAAAGAGTCAGGGCCCCACTGTGAGGGATGCCCACAGAGCAAGGAAGCTTGGGGTCCCAACTGGCCTGAGACGGGGCCAGTGCCGAAGGAGGAGCTGAAGGTCCGACAGAGGGACTACAGCTAATGGGAGAAGGGATACAGTTGAGTGTAGCTGCCTGGGATGCCACGTGCAAGGCTTGGGCCACAGTGAGGGGTCGAACGGAGCTGTGGATACCCCCTCTTCATATCGGAGTTCAATATGGGCACCCTCCCACCTTTTTAACATCTTCATATCATTATATCAAGGCATGGCAGGGGAGTGAGGTGGGCAGCTGGCCCATAGATAGGAGGCAGGCCGGTGCTTGCACCAGGCATGAAAGCCTGCCCCTGTCTAACACATCCACCTGCAGAGGGATGATGCATGGCAGCTCTTAGTGCTTACCCCAGCCTTGCCTTTTGATAGTTGTCAGTTATGCCAAGGCAGTTTTTCAGGCCTACAGATGAGCTTTTAAAACTGATTATTGAAAGAGATTCCCAAGGAACCATATATCTTAGAAGGACCCCTAAAATATTATATCAGTCTTCGAAGACACAACATCTCTGCTATACTCCCCATTGAAAACTATGTATTTTCCAAATAAATATGAATCACTCTGTGGAACAAGACTGAACTAAGTAATGACCGTTTTTGGTAGTCCATTGAGGATGCCTTTTTAAAGAACTTGGTACACAAATGCTGTTCTGTACCAAATTGGAAAACAATATTAGAGAATAGCAAACTAAAACTTCTGTGACTAACACAGTCAGAAAACCCATATACAATATAAGGGTTATCAAAACTATTAAAATAACTTTGAGAGAATTTTTGGAGTAAGTTGTGCAGAAAATATACAATTTATGGGAGGGTCATAGAAGTGTTCCACAACTGACTTGATCAACCTCTCACTGCCAACTAATGATGAATGAGTGCAGTTTAGGAACAAATTAGTGCCTAGCTTAATGATGCACATCTCACATTCTGAATGAGTAATGAGATAAGAGCAGGGCATGCTGATTTAAATCTGATCAGTTGGGGACATGTTTTCAGACTGGGCTAACCAAAGGAAGAAGGGTAATGTGAACTGCTTGCTGCTGCTTTTTTACTTATATTTTCATCCCTGCATACAATATTTATATAGGGTTAATAGCCCTGATGGACTTTGCAGGACAATTTACAAATATTCAAGGCATCAAGATATTTTCATGGGGCTCATATACACATGCATTAATGCAGCATTGCTACTGCACATTTAGTTTTGTAACTCTAATATGAGGTACTACATAAATGTGCAGTAGCTGATGCTAATACACAGTAGCAATGGCTCACAGCTTTTTTTTTTACTCTTAATATGCAGTAGACTAACTCTTCTGCACATTATTGCATTAGCATGGTTTTTGCCATGATGCCCTAGTGCATAGTAAAATTAGTGTACTGTGCATTAAGCATCTTGTATAGATGTGCCCATGGAGTTACAACTTTGTGGCAAACTGTTCCTTTCTCCGTGAGACCTCTGACAAAAGAAAATATGTTCCTTTTCTGTTGCAGATATCCTAATGGCAGGATGATAGTACAGCAGGATGTAGGCTACCATTGTCTGTGGACTACTAATTTTTGTGATGCAGTGAAATTCTTTCCATAGGAACAAAATAAAGAGCAATGTGGTCAGGCTGACAGTACTTGAACATGAAATAATTCATTTCCCATCCCCCCCCCCCAAAATAGTACCACATAGGCAGCTACAAAGTGAGCTTTTTTTTAATCCTTCCGGTAATGTGGCTCACTCACCCCTGTAGGTGAGAAAGTAATAGCTATTCCAGTAGCTATTTGGTTATTTGTCTTTTTGCTGAGGCTGCTCATAAGGCTGTCAATAGAGGTGGTAATTTTTGTGTGCTAGGGGCACATCAGACCCCTGGCCCTGGAAGCATGATCCAAATTGATAGGGTTAAGTGTCTCAGATCTATGTACACCAAGTGCAGAGACCTATGTGCTTCCAAGAAGTAAGTCAGTGTTAGATACCTACTCTCTCTACACATAAAAGGGAAAAACCTAAATGCCTGCAAGGGACTGTCCAAGGAGCTCAGGGTCACTTGAGCTACCCAATAGGAAACACTAAACACAGGGACTTAGATGAATTCATGCTCTTAACTTAGGTGCTTAAATCAGACTATGCATTAAAGGGGTCTCCATTCACTTGCCCAACCTTTTATGTAATTACCTAGTGAAAAAGCAGTCACCAGGGGAGTAGAAGCTTCATGTTCTAGTCCTTCCTGAACATTATGAGATTCAA